TTCCCATCCTGACCTCCACACTCTGCCCTGAATGAAGTGTCACAGATACACAGGCTTTCTTCTGGACCTTAAAACCCCAGAAGAATGAAGGTTAATTCAGTGCTGTAGCAAAAGGTGGGGGGACGGGAATGTGACCGCCCCAGGCACCAAAGCGAAGGGGCATCAACAGGCGCTGCCCAATTGGGGCAGGGCTCAGGACGGAGCTGTGAGCAGCCCGCTTTGGGGGGTGGGGGGAGAAATGGCATAGGGACAGGGGGATGGTGGCTCCCATCATTGCAAACAATCCTGGGCAAGCATGGGGGGGCATGTGCCTCCTAGATATGTGAGCAGGGCAAGGGAGGGCTGCCACTGCAGGCTTGCCCCAGGCACCAAACTTTGTTCCTGTGGCACTGGTTTAACTGATTTTTTAAACAGGGCAAAGGCCCTCAAAGGATGATGGACATAGGTCTTTCAGAGGAAAGCAGCATATTCAAAGTGAAATGTATGGTCTGTGCATTACAATAGTTCTTGGAAGCCTCAACTAAGGGTGAAGCTCCATTGTGCTAGATGCACAGATTATGAAACAGCCTATGCTGCTAGGCAGTTTATCATCTGAACGGGTCTGGCATACAAAGGCTAGAAGGGGAACAGAGGTGCAGGAAGGGAAAGCGTATTTTCCAAGGCACACAGCAGTCTCCTGCCACTCAGCCCTATGCTCTGTCCATTGGACAATACTGCCTGAACCCAGCTTTCTTCCCCCTGCAGGCATCAGTGATTTATAATGCATCCACTTCTGCAGAATACTGCAGCTGTCATGGTGCCCAGCACCCTTGGAAGACAGGAAGTTGAGAAGCAAGTGCCCATAACTTGAATTGCAGGAGGAAATGTTAGGGAGGCAGGATACAATTAGCCCCACAGGAATTTGGCCAACATGCTAGGGGTGAACATCCTTTTGTTAGACATTTCACAATCAAGACAAAACTTCTATAGAGGCAAACAGCTGCCTGGGTGAACAGGCTCTTTGGGAGCAAGTGGTGCTATGGGCAACTCTATTTTTCTTGCTAACTAAACCAATGCTTGCCTGCCTTGGCAGTCAGTAGTGTGTCATGGATATTGAATAAGGCTGCAGGAATGAGTTTTGAGGCTGGTGCTCAGGCTGATTTGAGGACTGGCAGTGGCCTGGTTGGTAGCAGCATGTAACTTCACTTCTTCTCCCAGCGGGCCGGTGTTGTTAGCACTCCCATAGTTGCCACACGAAACTTTCTCTGCAGTTTCCAGGGCAACTGCAGCCCTAGCATCCACACCCAGACTAGTGCAAGCAGTGAGGAAGTTCACTCTTATCCATCAGGAGGCCTGCAAGGTTGGCAAGCAGCACTGATTTTATAGAGGTCCACCTCTGCCAGCCAGGAATGGGAAAGAAGCTGCAGCTGTGGGACAGTTCAGATATATTTCTGCTTTGATGAAAGCTTGAAGGGCGCTGAATCCACAAACTTCATCAGCAGCATCACAATATTATCTTTTAAGGTCTTTGCCATTGGATGAAGAATGATCAGTCAGAAGCTCTCTTTAGATCAGACTTGAATCCACACAACAGTCTATCTTCAGGCAAAGCACTCCTAAGTGAAGCTGGGGTCATTCCCCTGAAATGCTTGCAGATGTTAGCAGGACTGTGAAAATGAAGCATGGATTTTCCTGTTCTGTTGCAATGGAATGGCTCATCTTCCTATACGTTTATTTAGACTGGGTGACTTTTTTCCCTGAATCACAGCTGAAGACAAAGCAAGTAAAAGGAAGAACTTTTGTGGGTGCCCTACAACAGGAAATGACTGATTAACATGCAGACTGTAATCTGAATCACCTCAGAACCAGCTGACTACCATGGCTCAAACAGAGGAAACATTATAGTGGTGCAAGGAACTGTGCTACTTGATGCTCTGTGTTCCAGTCCCTAGCATTGCTCGTGTCAGACACTCTCAAGTTAGCGGTGTCTCTCTGCCAAGGATTCTCATTCAAACATGTCCATTTCAGCATTTGGGGAACAGACAAAATAACACTGGGCTAATGCTGGATAGAAATACCTCCACCCAATCCCACCAACAGATCTCAAAACATGGCCTGAGGAAACTCAGTGGTTTCAATTCTGGATTTCTCTTTAATGCAATGAGCACACCCATTTTGCAGCACAAATGACCCAATGGTGAGATCACCAAACTCATCCAGAAGCCATTAGGGACGCAGGATTTCATAGCAGGCAGAGAGACTGACATAGACAAGAAATGCATGGTCCCCAACCCAAAGCAAGCAGGCATGCACCGCTACTACCCAGCTCCGCAAACCAACACTGGTGTTGGCTGAACTGAAGCAGCTGCTGGACTGGAGCAGCTTTGAGAGTTTGGATACCAATGTGTTTACAGTATGGCAAAGTCCAGCCACACAGGATGGGAGGATGTTCAGATTCTCAGCACAATGGGCTTTCCCAGTCTTTTATCTAAATTCATGAAGTCAGCTTCCCCTCGCCCGCTAGCTCTGGGGGAGCAGTCACGACTGGAATTAGACCGTGTTACTTTGGAAAAGGGGGCGGGGGCCCTCACCATTCCACACACAAGGTGATTCAGAGAAAGGAAAGGACAAGGAAAAGTCAAGAGGAACAGAGCAGCAATACTGATGCATTGCATCTGGCATAGTGGCTTTTGCACTGAGCAATGATGTACTGGCTGAAGCAACACCTGAGCCTTGCTGGCATGACCCTCTCACTGCTGCTAAGAGCAAGCCAATTAGTTTGGTCTATAGGAAAGCTTTCACCATTGCTATTAGTGGCAGAGCTGAATCTGTGCTAGCAGCAGTGGACAACGTAAGACACAGCCCTAGAGGCAACTCTGCACCTTGAATAGTGTGTCAGCAATGGATGCTATTGCAGGGTTGTATCTTTAACTACATTTGCAATACAAATATGTTTAGCACTGGTTCAGTTGCTCCCATTGCTGACATTTGTTGTCAATAGCAAGTAATTCTGCTACTGAAAGAGAGCCTGGAATTCGGACTGGCAATGCTGTGGGGACTCGGTACTCAACTTCCATAGTAGGGTTTGAAATCCTGCTTAATGCAATAGAAGAAAGGAACTGAGAACAGGTAAGCCACAAAGGTATAATCCCATGCTAACCCAAGGGAGTGAAACTGATCTTGCAATCCCTAGGAAGGCAAACAGCTTTTATTCTGTGCTGTCACAAAATTTGGGATTACTTTATTTGGGAAGACTGGTTTTGGTAGCTTGCACCTGAGATGGGGCCAGGAGCAGCATCATGCTGCGACAGAGCAGATACTGAGGAGAGAGGGTGTGGGTTGGTAGGTGGGCATAATGAGCATGTGCCATTCTAAAACCCAAAGGATTTTATTACTGCATCACCAGCTTAAAATGGAGGAAATCTGGAGGAGAAAACTCCCTCAACTCCATTATTTTCCATTACACATTAGCATTCCTGTCAGGCATCACACCTACTTTCCCACAGGACCAAGCCCTGCAGGCATGGGAGGCAGAGAGGCACAGTAGAAAAGACTTCGATCCTCCCTGCCCTGACACTGTCCTGCCAAGCATGCAACCTCTCCCATGCCCCCAAAATAGCACTAGTTAAGCTTGAAGTAGCTAGAAGAACTAAAGCCCTGCAGTGCTCAAGAGCCCATGATTAGGCTCTTCTTTGCTAGCTAGCACTAGGTTATTTAAGTTTAAACAGACCCTCCTCTAAAGCAGTTGTAGGCTTGTGACACTTCCTGCTGCTCTCCACCAAGCCAGCTCATTTCCAGAACAGAATTTCTCTCTTACTGGGCCCCATTAGGAAGAAGCCTGGTTCACAGTCCAATTCCTAGTCTCACTTTAACTTTTTAATGGACCTTGGTGAATTCACAGGACCAAAACCATATATAAATGTAAGGCTGTCTAGTAGGAGTAGTTTCCTCTTAAGTTTGACTCAAGCTACAGCTCATCTCATCTGAGACCAGCTGAAGGGTAACCCCTAGTGGTCAGAAACATCCTTTACACAGAGACATTCACCACCACATCCAGATAGCCTAATACATTAATTCCTCAGAAGTCCTGTCCCCTACTTACAATATGTTAAAGTACAGGTATCCCTAGGAGGTGACTTTGTAAGAGTGGCATGGCAGGGCTCCACACTGTGCGTCTGATTTCTGTACAATATGGGCAAAGATGTTTTTTCTAACTGAATGAGGATGAGTTTGTAGAGTAGGTAGGGAGTCTCCAACTGGACACTTTCCACTCACACATCAGCACTACTCACTCATCAGCAAAAGATATTTTGAAGGCCAAATTATGTAATCAGCACCACCTGTGCAACTCTACTGACTAATAACTGTGCCCTTGTACCAACCCATTTAGAAGGTCCCTTGTATCCCTGGAAACAATCTGAAGAAAATAAGGTTGTTAGGTGAGAGAGAGCATGATTTGACCTGCACAACACCACTAACTGGCAATGACTTGATACACAAGTATGCAGTCTGACTCAGAAGCCTTGTCTAGGGAGTTTAACTACTGCTAGCACCTGGTGCTGAACACTTTTCAAAGGGAACCTTAGACATAGACAAGGCTACTTCAAAAGAGAAGGATGGGACGGATGGTCTCTTGCAATTATGACACCAATGAGTCATCTTGACCCCAAATACACCAGATACCCTGTAAAACAAATGATTGGACTCTCAAGGCCTCAGTTTCCCTATCTGTAAAAGGGAGGCAACAGGCTTTCTCTCTCACCCCTCATCTTGTCTATTTGGATTGCTAACTCTGGGGCAGGGACTGTCTACTATACACACAAACAGCACCTAGCAGGATGCAACCTTGATCTTGGTTCAGGCATCACGTCCTGCTGTAAATAAGCTCAGAAGCAGCAGTTAAGCCCCTCTATGAACTTTTCTGTGGAATGCTTGCAAGTGCTGATATCCCATTTCTCACAATGTGATGGAAAGGTCTCCTACTTTTAGAACAAGGAATCCATACCAGACAGCTGTGTTGAAAGGGTGAAGCCAAAAGGTTTCATGTTTATTTTTGTGTACAATTCAAATTCTGTACAAACACAGAAACATTCAACACCAACAGTGAGGACCATATGAGGACCATAATTGCACAACCTCAAAAGTCACAATTAGGCAGCACTACAATCACCTTGAGAAAAACAACATACAGAAAAATCTACACAGTCACATCAACTATTGACAGACTACTAATAAAAAAAAAATCATCTCAGAAAGGGGCTGGATCACAAGACATAGCTGGTATCACATAAAGATGAGATAGCATCCAAAACTCTCGGTGCTCCATTTCCCTGGAGTATTCCAAATGGTGATAGCAACAGCTGAGCTTTTTCTTTGCCCTAGCTGCAGGTGGGTCTGAGTCCCCACTGGCTGTAACATCATGGATTGTTGTCATGGAGACTGCATTGTCACCAAGGCAGTGTAAACTCAAGATTCCTCAGCAAAGTAGGACACAGATTCCAATGGGGGTAAAGATAGGATTTAAATCCACATGCACATACTCAAACACACGCAGAGAGATCAGAAAGGTGATACACACACAAACACATATGCACACGCACACACAGGAGGAGTTGATTGATATGCAAGATGTTGTTTTCTTTTGGCTTAAACAGAATTCTGTTGATGAATTTAATTCTTTAAATAACAGCCTATTTTATCTCATCCTATAGCAAAAGAGTTTAACACAGAAGAGAGTTTCCTTTTGTGTCACCTTTCCATTGAGAAAAAGATGAAAAGTAATCAAACAGCGCATATCTTTCAGGAAACAATTAACTTCCAAGACGCTCAAATGCCAGACACATGGGACTGGATAACAGCTGGCCTCTGGACTGCAAGCAACTCAGAAGCTATTAACAGTAACTTCAGTCCAGTTTCAGCTGTCTGAGGGTTTCTAGTCTTATCTGCTTTCCCTTCCCAGGAATCCTCCTGGCTACTAAAATATTACAGAGCAAAAATGTTTCCTCAGGAAATCAGAGATTCACTTCCAAAAGGGCAGCAATGACTTCTCAAAAGCCAAAACCTTGACTTTATATGAACAGCATAGTCAAATGGCACTCAATACCACCCCTGCCATGCCATTAGGAGTATTCTTCCCAGAGGGAGTGTACATTATCAGCAGCTATTCAGAAGCACTATAATGTTAACGGACTTCACAGTAGGAGCCATTAGGATACTTGCAATTCTCTGATAAGCCACCACTGTAGCAGTCTTCTCAAAAACTGGTCTGTAAGCTCAGCCCCAAGAGCTCTGCATGGGGCATATGGACCATGATTGCACCAAGATCCATGAACCTGGATAGATTTCTGTTTTACTCTTTAATTGCACAGACAACTTTGTCACTGGAAAGGAAATTCCCTCAGGTTACAGAGCTATGGCTCCCCATTTAAAGAGAATGATATATATATATACATATACACACATATATACACACACACACACATATATACACACACACACACATATATACACACACACACACACACACACACACAAAAAGCATTAGTATTTACTGAGCAATTACAAAAGCAGCACACAAAAGAAAGAACTTTGTACAGTCCCCCGTGATAGATTACTGCAGCTTCTCTGCAAGTGCAATGTTCAGACACAGAATGTACAAATACTAAATTGGTCTTTTAGGATTTTTTTTCTTAAATACTTGCCTTAATGACATTTTTAGCACCAACTCTTGCAAACTGACGCTGCTGGTATTGATATGAACAAAGAAAAATAGTCCTAGATATGATCAGCTTCCCTATCCATCTGGCAGAAGGGAGAAGTTACTTCTGTGACAAGTTCACAGACTTGTGAGCCACCATTTCCAAAGCAGGATTCATGCAACAGGATCTTCCCAGCACAAGGTCCACTCTATATAATGGCCTCCCTCCTCCCCCACAAAAGTGCTCCAAAGGTAACGTTTATATTCCCTTTCCAACTGCAAAGATGTTTCCTTAGAAATTACTAGCCACAGACATCCAACACCCATTGTAATGACCTCCTTTATGAAGTGGAGTCTTAATTTTAGCTTGCTGTCTTTCTGCAAATGACTACCTATATATGTTCTAAGGGTTTTTTGTGGGCCCTAGCTGTGAGAGGATTTAGAGGCTGCTATTACCCTGGTTTTCTAAGGGACCTGAGAGTCAGGTGCCTAAATCCCATAGATTTTTGGTACAAATGCATGCTTAACTTCCTTCAGGCTTTATGGAAGAAAAAATCATGCTAGTATTTCTAAAACCAAGTTTGTCACACCAGCTTCTATTCCTGCTATTTCATGAGGTCATGCTTCCACCCAAACATACTGGGGGAAGAGAGGGAAGGGACTTTTCAGATATGATTTGAGGAGCAAGATAACTATGACACTTAAACTCTATTGCTATGTACAGTACAGGTGGGAGGGAGACGTGAAAATTAAAACATTTCTGCTGATCTCTGGCTGTATTTTGCAGACAGAAAAAGTGAAGTGAATTGCTTTAGGCAAGATTCATTTGCTCTTGCCAACAAACAGCTTGAGGGAGAGAGCAAACTGTAGACAATCTGGGAGGATGAGGGCCAGGGAAAATATATTTAGAAGATCCCTCTAAAGATATCTGAATTAATCTTTTGCACAAGCAAAGATGATAGGGTATTAATAAGTATCAAAGAGTGATATGGCATTTACTTTCCAGTATCTGACAGGCAGAAGGAAGCACTTGCCAGGAGCTTGTAAAACACTGTATAATTGTCAAGGCTCTTTTCCATCAATAGTAACAGGTGCAGTTAGATTGTATCAGCTGCTCCCAGCTCTGTCAAAAGATGCATTAACCATACCCCACCACCTCCATGTCACTGCCTTTTCAGGTCAAGTACCAATCTGGAGAAGTCTTATTTTGAGAAGCAGACACAATGAGTTAAAGGCACCAAGGGGATTTTTACATTGCTCACTACTGAGATATGATCTACCCATGTCAGAGCAGTTAATGAAGTGACCGTCTATGGAACACAGTTCTCACTTGTTTTCCCAGGCTATACTCAGCAGCATCACCTGGAGAGCATCAGCAGGTTTAGGAACCCTTCTAGTGATACCTGAACAGTGATCTGGCTGAAGAGGAGCTATCTGGAGCTCAACCTACTAAATATAAATCTGTCACCTTGGTTATTTTCTCCTTTGCTTTGGAAGGAAGTCCAGATCTCATTTCAGGGACTGGAGCTCTCCATACTATCAGTGCAATTAACCATCTTGGGCAGAAACTATCTGGGAACTGGCTGATTTACTCCCAAGACAAAGATTTGGGATATTGTATTTGGGACTTGAACTAAACTATGCTTGAACTAAACTAGTGAACCTTCCCTGTTCTTATTTCCAAGGATCCCTCCATCCCAGTGGGTGGAAATCTGTTTTCAAAGTGGCTCCTTGTACTGCCAGCAGGAGGGCCTGTTTTCCTCCTCAAAAAGCTGGACACAAAAATAAACAGTATTTTGAATAAGACATATTTGATAGCAGGCAGCTGTGCACAAAATTTGCGTGTGCAACTTTTGCAAGGAATATTGGACAATGACTGCTTGCTTTTGTAATCTATTGGTTAGAGTGTGGCTGAAGTTATATTCCTTCTGGTAGAATTAAGGAGTGAACTGACATTTCAGAACCCTGAGACTTTAAAAGTGAACCTGTGCTCTAAGACTACCTGGAGGAGAAAGGGTCTTGGTTTAGTCAATTAAAACCTGGGAACTAATGTAGGCAATGCGATAACTTCACTCACTGGACTCCTAGTCACCTATGCCAGGTGCAAGGCTAGGTGCCAGAAGCTCACTTCACACAGAATACAGCTTGCATCAGGCATCGACAGTGTGTAGACTGTAGACTGTAGCTACACATCTACAGTGTGTAGACAGTGAGCAAGCCAGTCAGCTGAATTGGACTCTAAGTCTAACTGAATCGGATTCTAACAAGACCTTGCTTAGCCCACTGAGCCACTGATTGGGACTGCACATTTTGATCTTGCTTTATGAAAGAAATCCAGCATAAAAAATAACCATTAAGAGTCCCCAGTTTAGTGCAGTCATCTAGGTGTATATCTCCAGAAGAAACAGCATTCCCCTTTCCTCCATTTAGTTAGAGATCTCCCCTTTACTGGTGAGCTGTCTGAGCTATGTAGAGAATTCTCCAATTTTTTTGCTCATACCGGTCCCCAATGAGCATTGAAATGTCCTCCCCCTGCTTAGTACGTACCAGTCCCAAATCCAGGCAGCTAATTAAATCTCAGGCAATGGGAAATCACTTTTAATCACTCAAGATAACAAAGCACAATTGGGGAAGAGACCCAGGAGAACTTAAGGGAGCCAGAGAAGCCTTTTCTGCCTTGTCTAACCTGCACCAAAAAGTCATTGCTAGCAAAGCAGCTTGCCTTTCACATGGAGGGAGGGACTGGATGAAGCATTAGTCTCACCTGGCAGACTCATGAGATAGAGGAACAGCATCCCCTACAGCCTCTCTCAGGAACTTGTACAATCCCAGGCATAAGACTGACATTGATAAGTATGCTTGGCTTTCTGCATTGGAAGAAGAATCACCTCACCGTATCAATTTCCCTTTAGAAAAATCACTGAGTTACTGTATTCAATGGCTAACATTGCCTCAAGTCTTCCCCCACATTGTCCCATTGTGACAGTTATCACTTCCTGGTGCAAAGCCTCATCTTAGCTGCCATGACAAATGAAAACAGATGAGAATTTGTACACTGCATATACCCTGCTGATTTTAGCTGCCTGACCCGCAAGTCATATTATAATTTGAAGTCATTATGCTGATATGGAATAAGAATGTAAACACAAAGTCAGCCCTCTGAGAAACCATTGTCCAGACAATACCTTTTACAGAGGAGCAAACTCGACAGGAAAATGAAACTAGAACACGAGTGGGTATCAGATGCAAGGAAAAACATAATTAACAATCATTGTTCCTTCCACAAGTCAAGGGCTTTTCTAACTTGTTCATGAATGAGTGATGAAAAGGACCACATGAGCCTGCCTGGCTGTAGGAACTACAGTTAGAGTCTCTTTGTAGAAGGATACTGATCTTATTTGAGACAAGACAGTGGTTTATATTTTGTAGATTGTAGGGTATTCCTGCAAGTTGAAAGCTTGACATCACTGGCTTAAGTCAGGCACTGTACAAGTGCCATGGAGCTCTGCCAACATACCTCAGTTCCACTTAGCACGTCCTAGGCCTTAGACCTGAACTGCATTGGTCTGTGTGGTGATTCTACAATATGGACAGAAGTCTGCTTTGGAGCAGACTGAAATCACCATAGTCCCACTTGTTACTGAAAGTGGTATTTGAACCCAGGTCTCTAGAAGTAAGCAGCTAAGGAATTAACCAGCTGCATCATCTAGCCCTTTACTATTGCATCTTTCTATGCAACAAGTAAATAGCTAAGCCCTGCATTTTTAGCATGCTCTTTAGTCAGTATGAAATGATAACAAGCCCAAGATAACTTGTGCTAGCTCTTACATTACTATTGGTCTGTCTTGAGAATTCTGAGACATTGTGAGCTTGTTTGGGGGCTCAGACACTCAAGGTGTCCTTGAACCCCCACACCTCCAAAACAGAGATTTGGAAGTTTTCAGAGCACAGTGGCTGATTATTGAAGGTATTGCAGTGGCTGGTTCTCCCATGGTTCAGGTCTGCATCGAGGTAGAAAGCTTGGCCATCACCACCTCCTGCAGAGAGAGGAAGAACAAGTGTTAGACTGATTTCACAGATGCAAATTCATGGAAAAGAGATGATAAAACCAAGACCAGTTTTGGGGGATGTTGGCTGAGTTGTTGCTTGTTGAGCTGAGAAAACCAAGACTTATCTTACAGGTTGTAGACTTATCTTAACACTTGATTGCCTTTGTGATGTTTTTAAAGAAGGGTCCAGGCAGCTACTAACTTCAGTAACAAGAGAAAGAATAAGGGATAGAAAAAGCCCCCAGGGAACATACTGGGCAATAAAGGAGTTGAGGGGAAGGAGGTGGGAGGGTGGGGAGGAGAGGGTAGAGTCCTACAAATGATAGCAATGGCACTAGTATGATCTTCTAGATGCTTGTAAAACGAAGTCTAAAGTAAATTGCACGTTGATGAGAGTAGTTGATACTGATTTAGGACTGATCTGAATGCTGGAATATCCCACAGAACTTAGATGGACAGGAAATTCAGTGACCTGAAAGTAAACTTAACTTCATCAAGAGAGGTGTTGGGAAGGAGAAGAAAGATAAGAGACTTTCAGGGCTAAACTAAATGAAAAGATGCTGTCTGGAGAGCAACAGAACAAGAAAGGATGTTAGACAAAATATATACATCACTTGAGGAATTAAGTGCAGTGGCAAGTCTTGTTCCATGCTGGTGACTGAATGAGATGGTAATTCCTATGTACCCACGTGAAGACATGGGACTTGTTCCTCTGTCACTGCTATACCTAACAATATTGTTTTGTGATGACCAAGATGTAAGCATCAATGTTCTCTAAGTTTAAGTATGTACATTCTAACCTCCAACTGAGCTTGTATTGTGAGCTGGTTGTGTGCTGGAGAAGACTAGCCCACACAGGGCTGGCATGTTCATTACTGAACAGGAATTAGTAGACACTAGGTATCACAAGCTGGTATCTTAATCTGGGAGCCACTGAATGAGAAGCTATCTTAGCAGGTCCCTTCTACACATTTTACTGGAGTTTAGGTAGATGACTACTTTATTATGGGCTATGATCATCCTTAGTAGTACTGCAGATGCAACACCGTAGCGGCAAGTGTGTTGCTATATTCTAATTTCTCTCATGATCCAACACCTCATTACTAATAATCCTAGAACAGGAAATTAGTAATCAGATATGAGGCAGGAGGAAAGCCCAAGTACACTCAAAAACCTTACTAAATTCACACCAATGAATCATTGCAAAAATGTTCAGTTCAAAAATGCAATTTTTGGATGGAAATTTGGAAGACCAGGATTTTTCAGCCACTTTTCTCATTATAGCTACAGTAATACTGAGTGACAATAAAGCTAGAAACAGCTTGAGCCACCATCTACTGTGAACATTAGGGAGGCATGGCAGGATGTCTGTACAAATCCCATAGACTTACCTATGATGATACACTCGGTGCTGCCAGCCATAAACATAGAAGCCGTTTTGGAAGGCAAGTTGAAGTGCCGAGCAGCAAGGAAGGGGGAAAGGCGATCTGATGGGTCTAAGGGGACAGAACTGAAGGATGTGGCACTGGAAGCCTGTGTGGAATGACTCCCTCGTTCAGAACCAGCCATTGCCAGCTCCGGGTGCTTGATTATCACCCACTCATAGCGTTCCACTTCTGGCTGCAACTGTGCAAGAGAAGAGAAAAGAGTTACTTGGTGGAAGCCCACTGCTCTAAAAGCTCTGACCACAAGCCAGTCTTCGAGCCCTTCAAGCACCCCCAACAGCATGTCATGGCAAGGGAGTTGGACAATATCCTTGAGTGTAACTGATAGGAATGGTGCCAGATAGGCTTTTGCTTTGTAGAGGGTTGAATAGGGAAACTAGGCTATATGAGATAGTTCTTGAATTATCTTACTATTTGTGTGTTAGTGTTGGGGTGACAATGTATCGGTGATGGTCCATAACAAATGCAAAGCAAGGATTTACGAGTGGTATCTTTTATTGGACCAACCCATATAGCTGGGAGGTACAGGCTCCTTACTATATAATTAGTTCAATAAAAGGTATGACCTACAAAGTGTAAGAGGCAAGGATTTTTATGACGTGTCTACACCTAGCCTCCTGAGAAAATATTCTGCACTTAGGAGACAGGGTCTCAGCCCAGACTTAAAAAAGAAAATCTCCCACAGCCATTCAAAATGGGCCTCAATGACTAAGGCCACAAGGGCATGCACTGGATCAGAAGCCTGTCCACCCACCAATTCCAGTCCAGGTGCAAAATAGTGGTAGTAAATAGCTGTTAAAGTTTGGTCACTATCATTCAATACTGAGTGGCAGTAACTACTTACCCTGAACACAAAGCACTCTCCAGTCCCGAAAAAACTCAGCTTGTTTCCTCCTCGCCGGCGCTCGCTCCAGTCTGTTGACAAATATGCTCCACAGACCTAAAAACATACAGTAAGGTCAGTGGGCTTTTCATCAGTTCTTATAGGAAAAGGGTATTTTAAACCATTGATTCCAACAGGCTTCAAAGCCCATACCCAATGGTTTCACACAGTTCAAAATTGAAAGTCTCTAGAGCAGGAGAACACAAAATATTTAGACAAACTAGCTTCTGAATTCTGAAGTGTTCATACTACAGGTATGCAAGGGGCCATAAGTGCCACAGACAGAAATATCCTAGACATAGCTACTGGCAAGAAAAAGTTATGAAAACCAAAACACTGCTTCCTTGTTTTTGTGTCTCCCCTAAAATCAAGGGCACCAACTCAAATTATAACATGAGCACCACTATGTAGCACCTGTCAACAAGTGATAGAGAGCTGTGAGATATTTTGCTGCCTTCTACTACATTGTGCACACTAGCAAAAAGTTTCCCACAGCTGAGCTGAAGACAACTGTATTTATTAGTATAGTCCAGGAAAGAAGGTTCCATATTTCTTCAAAAAAACCAGTCAAAACATGGGTTCAGAAGTTTCTCTTTGGTTATGCTAGCAGATAAACCTTCTACAGCACTGGGAGAACAGCTCCTGGCACCAACAAGTAATTTTGCTGATTAAATGTACACAGAAAGCAAAATAAAGAGTATTCATATCCATCCCTAAATCTGCTCTGTAAAAGAGGCAGAGTGTAGAAGCCAGCAAAATATTTTTTTCAGTATTTTAAAATGTACTTAACAAGAGATGATGGCATCCTCTCAGGTAACTGATATTTCTCCTCCTCTTTCCATCCTGTCTTACATCTAAGTGGGGGGAAGGAAGTGGGGGAGGGGGGCAGAAAATGGACCAGCAGCAGCTGTGAACTTTGACTTAATAGCACTCTATAGGTCAAGAAGAGAATGATACTTGATCAAGGCAGATGTACTCTCCCTTTTCCGTTAATATAATGGAAATCACATCGGCTACTAATCTAGCTGATATGGTTCTAGCTTTAGGAACAATAGATCAAATTCTGCTTTTATTTGCATGCATGAAAACTCAGTGAAACTGAATACCATGGCTTACAATGTGGCTGCAAATGGGTAACAAAGCAGGAGGTTGTCAGCCACAGTGCCACAAGTCTGTATAACCACCCTGCAGGGACATGAGCAGAGGCAGGAGCCTACAGACTGGATGGGTAGGTGAACACTGTAAGCAAATTTTTAAGAGCTGTGAAGTATGTGACCCACACTGTCTCCAAATGACTTCTGCTTCTGTGCAACAGTGCAGTTTAGAGCTCCATGACATTTCGTTAAGGTTTTGTCACAACCATGAGATCAGCAGTCTGATTTTTTAATATGAAGTCTAATACTTCCCATCCTTTTGAGAACTGCAGGATATCCTTGAGCAAAATAGTTTCTATGAAGTATGAACATCCAGGTCAGTACAATCCTACAGCCTCTCACTGGTTTTCATCATTACAAACATGTAATGAATGCTTACATGAAAATGTAGTCACCAGAATTCTGTGTGGAAGCGCCTGCAGTCCTGTACCACTACTACCATCACATTAGGATTACAAGAGAAGGGATGCCAGCCTTGAACAAAGGTTCTAGGGTTTATCCTTGTAAAAGGTTTACAGGAGATAGCCCACGATGAGTGAAGAGCACATTAGATATCTGAGTTTGAAGCATATGCCCTTATGAAATGCGTTTGTAAGCTGTCTCCTCCTTTTCATTATAAACCACTGTCCAAGGCAGAATGGGTTTTAGATAACCAAGTGACACAGCATACCACCCTTTTAGTTACCTTTCATTCCACTCACCTCTTTGGCTGTCGTCTTGATTAGGAGAAGAGTTGGCTCATGTCCCTCAATGTGAGAATAAAACCTGTTATACATATATAAAAAAAGATGGCTCCTTAGTTAACTAGGCCCCTAAGATACTAGTTTGTTAATTCCACATGCAGCCTTTGTTGCTAGACCCACTATTTCTCCTAACTCAAGATTGTTTTTTAGTACAGAAGAACAATGGCTGGAGCAGAATACCTATTGCAAATGTCTCCAACAGTACAATTCAAATGATAGCAGAGATTCCTAACAAAGATTAGAGGCCTGATTTGCTACTGCTTAGCACCTGGCATGGACATTTATCCTTGTGTAAAATGGGTGCAAGACACTACCAAGTAACAACAGTGGCAGTCTCTACTCACTTCACACGAAGTGAAACAAAGGAAAATTGAGCCCGTTGTTGATCCCAGAATGCTGTCTCTTATGAGGCTTATTCCCCACCCCTCACTCACCTATGCTTTTGAGACACTCCAGGATGTTCTCACATCTTCTGGAGTGCCATTCAGCCCTGAACCCGTCTCTGCGGTCTTCTGCTTGACCGCTGAGAAGAGACTGAGATGCTCTTCAGGTCATCTTCCTGACCAATGGTGCCTCAGCTTTACCTGCCTCATCTAGGAACTGACAACTCTTGGCAGAGATTTTGCCAGCTGGAAGAATTACACCCTTTTCAGGTCATATGCTCAAAAATGATAGATTTTGTCCTTCTTTGGAAAAGGCCTGCCTGTATGGTCAAATGCTCCAAAATCTATGGCCAAACACTCTGAAATCACACTTACCACTGACAATATTGTTATTGTATTTACTTGATTAGAAGAGGATTCCTTCCAACCCACATTTAACATGGGGGGAAATGCCCCTTACCTTACAATTGAGCACAAGGTGGCAGGGAGAGGGGAAGCTGCTGCAGCTCTGGCCCTGGGGCCATTTTGTATTCTGTATATACAATAGTAAGTTATTTTTTATAACAAAAATATTTATTATAGAAACAAGAGCAAACAAGAAATCCATAGCTATATCTTGCAATATAGGCAAGTACAAGAATGAACAAAGAAAAAGAAATATAATCTGATTTTACCCTGCATCATACACCTTTTACTCAGTGCAACAGGCCAGAAAGCAGCTCCTGCCTCATATCTTCCCTGCAACTTCTCATCAGCCAAAATACCCAGCTTGCTGGAGGAGGGACCAAAACACTATGCGCCCAGGAAACTTCAGAACAAAACACTTGCTCTCATAGCAAGTCTTAAGTTTCTTATCTGGCCATTTACTTACATCATTCATTGAATTCCTAGGGAGCTCATACTTCTATACAACTTCCTGCTTTCCAAGGGGGGCATTTTTTACCAGACCAGGAGTCTTTTTTATGACAAATTATTATCCAATTATTATGATCATGAGAATATCCACATCCTTTCAGATATATCCCAAGTATACCATCTCTCACTTAAATGTCCTTCCGTGCATAGCCTGAATAGCCAGGTGTTCTCACTACAGGTCTCTTGAAATATAAATTCATCATTGTCTGGAAGAGCCTGGCTCAAGCACCTCAGACCATATCTGCAGGTGAACTTGGGTTCACAAGAGCTTGTGCTTCATGTGTTATAACCAGGGACCCTGGTTTTCTCTATTACAAAATCCCAAATTCTCTGAATAAAAAGCCCCAAATCCATGTTTTTCCATGATTAAAATGAAAGAGAGAGAGAGAGAGAGAGAGGGGCAGACAGACAAATCATTTGAACACAATGTTTTATTGATATATTTACAACTAGCCAATTGCCCATCAACAATGTGGGGGGGAGCGGGGGCAGGGGGGGAGCCCTGTGGGCCCACCCCCCTCTCCCCAACCTGTTCCCCCCTTACCTCCTGCTGCTTGGGGTCCGGGCCTATTCCCCATCCCTCCAATGCGCAGCAGTGGGGGGAGGGGAGAAGTGGGACAGGGCCTGAGGGCGGGGAGAAGCCAGGCTGCCATGGCAGGGGGGAGCAGCGGACCTGGGCCGACCCGACCCAGTGGCAGCGGAGGGCTCGGGGCGGAGCCAGCACCAGTGGCCTTGTCCCACCCCTGCAGCTTCCTGACCCCGCTCCCCCCCCCCCCCCCCCCCCACCGCCAGTAGCACCATAGATGCCTGCAGGATAAAGTCTGAATGCGGAGCTGAGCCCCCCCCGCAATTATCACCACCTGCATGGAAAATCAGAGCTCCCCCTGCCCCCTTTGCTCATCAGGACAGGTCCAGCTGTGGCTGTCCCCCCCGCCTCCGCTTTGTGGCACTGGACTGCCCTGATATGCTGCTGCCCCTCACTCCCGATCCAGTCCCCCACTCCCCAGCCCTGCTGGTGCCCCTCACTCCCAACCTGCAGCCCCCTGGCCCTGCTGGTGCCCCTCACTCTTGACCCAGTCCCCCACCCTCCAAGCCCTGCTGGAACCCCTTGCTCCTGACCCACTGCCCCCCCATCCCGAGGCCCTGGCCTCCCTGTGCATGGGGAAGGGGGACTGCATGGGATGCAGGGGGGTGTGGGCACAGGTGATGCATGGCGGGGGGGGGGGGGGGGGGCGGGGGCATGTGTCTCCCCATATATCTGAGCCCACAGTAGGGCGCAGGACTGCAGCCTGGTCTGACTGGCACTGGGCTGGAGCTGCCTTCACAGCCCAACAGGCAGGACCCCATGTGGTAGGGAGTGCTGTGCCACCATAGCTGCCAAGGGGAGGTGCCATGACAGCAGTGCGGAGCTGTGCCCACTTGCTGCTGGCTGGTGGGCAGGGGGCACCTCACCTTGGTGGCCCTGGTGAAAGCAGCAGCACTGAGCTTCCCCGCCCCACTCTACCCTTCTGCTCCAGGTCCCACCTGCTGGGCTACAGAGGCAGCTCCTGCCTGGTGTTGGTTAGGCCAGGCTGCAGCCCCGTGCCCTGCTGTGGGTGCAGAAATCTGGCAGGGGGTGTGAGCCCCCCACATCCTACCTCATGCATTGCTTATGTCTCCTCCACAGACTCCATGGGAAATGGAAAACCCAGATCCCTGGTTATTACTAACTCAGTCTATACAGATGCAGTTCTACCCTGACTTCTGACTAACATAGCTAACTCTCTCTCTATTCAACTGGCCATTAAACCTACTCATGTCAGATGCTTATTCTCTGCAATTACTTCTCTTAAGTTTGAATAGGTGAGGAAGGCTTAAGTTAACTGTTTCCCTACTAAACAGCTTTGATCAAAATATAAAAAGATATAAAATTACATTAATATCAAAGAGCAAAATTCATACAGAAAATGTAAGTCTAAGCACAATCTGACACTGCCTATACGCAAACTACATATGACATAGTAAAACCAATTCAAGAAAACATGCACGATAGTCCACAAACTTGTCAAAGTATTGTGGGTTCATGATAGTTCCATCCAGTTTTTGAGAACATGAACCCTGCTTTTGGGGGGAAGCAATGGAGCCATCTACCTCCATCTTGTCTACCCTCCAAGAACTCTTTCAATGTATGTGTTGTCAGGAAGGTAACTACCGCCGCTGAATGCAAGCCCCCCGTTTCACCCCCCGGCTGGGTGGCACATATGTGGCCTGCACACGGTGGCTGCCACCAGACTGCTGCTGCCATGCCCTGCGCCACCTGCCCACAAAGCCATTCAGATGGCCACGGGATGGTAGTGCAGGGTGCAGTGGCAGAGTTGCAGTGGCAGCCTCCGTGTGCGAACCTCCTGTCAGGCCGGCTGGCTGGCATGTGTGTGGCCCACAGTGTGACCCATGCCCTCACCCACCAGCCCTGCTCCTGGGAGTGGGCACCGGAGCACACTCCCCCGCTTCTTGATCTACTTCCCCAGCACCTTCTCTTTCCCCCACCCTGCCCCGCCCTTTCCACCCACACACACTTACCTGCTGGGGTAGGTGTCAGTGTCTGTGGATCTGGAGGGCTGTTGTGAGGGGCATCAGGAGGGCTGCTGAGACTGTGAGGGGAATTGCGGGGCACCAGCAGCACTGGGAAAAGCTGTGGGGGGGCCTTTAATTTTTATCATGGATTTTGGGTTTTTAATCAGAGAATTTGCAATTTTTAATCAGAGAAAACCAGGATCCCTGGTCATCACACTCTGTCTTATGATGAATTGCTCCAGGAAATGCTGAAGAACACTGAAGGGCAAGTCTTGCTAGTACGATTCATCCTCTGCACTGGACCCACTATTTGTTTCTCTCAGTGATGAGCTTGCACTTAATAGCTCCCATTCTTACATCATATTTGTCACTCTTGCAAACAACATAGTTGTTATCCTTGGCTCTGCACCTTTTACTTGATGTTAAGTTATTATTGTAAAAGATCTTTTTGCCTTGGGGACATAGCTAAATTGTAGCATATTTTGACCAATAGAAAACGTTGACCAGTTCTAACCTGTAGCATTTTAATACACTTTTAAGGGTAAAGGGAACTACACAGGAAGCCACTGTGAAAACTTTTTTATGCTGCAACTAGTTTTGAAACTACACATTTGGATTTTAAAATCCACAACAGTTTCCTTCTGACACTAACCTCTTACTGCTAGCAAATTCCTGACAGTCTCACCCTGTCTCTTAAAATACCTTTTTCAGATGATTACCCTTTGTCTTCCTCCCTTCAAAAAAGTAGCCAATTCATTTGTTGGTATTGTGTGAAAAGTGAAGCTTTTGGAGATCCAGGATGAGTGTTTAGGATGAGCAACCTGTTTAAATTCGCTGATGACACCAAAATTTGGGGGGAGGTGAGCACGCTAGCAGGGAGAGAGAGATTGCAGAAGGATCTGGATAGGTTATAGGGGTGGGAAAACAGGAACAGGATGTGTTTCAATACGGACAAGTGCAGGGTGCTGCACTTGGGAAGTAGGAACCAGCAGCACACTTATACGATGGGGAACTCCCTACTTGAGAGCACGGAGGCGGAAAGGGATCTTGGTGTCATTATTGACTCCAAGATGAACATGGGCCGACAATGCGAGGTCATGGTTGGCAGGGCTAACCGGACCTTGTCATGCATCCACAGGTGCATCTCGAGTAGAGCCAGGGAGGTGATCCTCCCCCTCTATGCGACGCTGGTCAGGCCACAGCTGGAGTATTGTGTCCAGTTCTGTGCGCCCCATTTCAGGAGGGATGTGGACAACATGGAGAGGGTCCAGAGGAGGGCCACCCGCATGATCCGGGGACAACAGGGCAGACCCTACAGCGAGAGACTGCGGGACCTGAACCTATTCAGCCTCCACAAGAGAAGGCTGAGGGGGGACCTGGTGACCGTCTATAAACTCACTAGGGGGAACCAGAAGGGTTTGGGGGAGACGCTGTTTCCCCTAGCCCCCGCTGGCATAACAAGGAGTAATGGGCACAAGTTGATGGAGAGGAGGTACAGATTGGACATCCGAAAAAACTACTTCACAGTTAGGGCGGCTAGGAGCTGGAACCAACTTCCAAGGGAGGTGGTGCTGGCCCCTACCCTGGGGGTCTTTAAGAAGAGGCTGGATGCCTACCTGGCTGGACTCATTTGAGTCCCGTTTTTGTTTTTAGGGTTTTTTGTTGTTCTCCCGCCCTGGCGGGGGGTTGGGCTGGAAGATCTATTAGGTCCCTTCCAACCCTAAAACTATGAAACTATGTTGCTCCAAGGGAACTGGCAGATTGCTACCAAAGCTATTAAGAAGTCGAGCCTCAGTTTACTCTTTAGATAGACCTCAACCCTTCTTCCCATTAATGGTTGCCCTACTATGCAAAGTGTGCAGGAATTCATTTTGGCACCTGTTCACATGACAGGAAGGGGGAGAACTAAACCTTTTACTAATTTTTCCACTTTTTTCAGGTCACCAACTTACAGGAAATTTACTGATGAAAGAAACCTCAGCCTTGACACTCCAACAATTTTGCAAGGGCTGCTTGCATAATCAAATAAGCAAAAAACAGCAATTAAAAAAAATCCTATCAAAACTTGACATGATGCAACAAATACAGCTGTAATTCCTTTGACTAACAATGTAAATGGTGGTAGAGGAACTAGCACACTCCCATAGTGTGGATACAACCTTACGTGGCAATTTGGAAAGCTACCTTTTGGTAACAGCTGGGCAACTTCCTTGGCATATGCAATTTCTCGCTCCCATAATACATTGTAGCTGCACTTTTTTTGCTTTCGGGAAGACTTCTGCATCCAATTAGCATTTGCGGTTGTTTGTTTTTACTTGTACAACAGAAACAAATTCAGGGAAAGAAGAAGTTACCTGTTCAGGCTGCAACCATGCTCCAAAGTGGTGAAAAGCAAAAGGGGCTGACAAAGTGCAAAGCGCTCTGGGATCCATGACCAGATATCTCTCATTTCTTTCACACTGACTATTTCAGACTTGAAGTTCTCGGCATGAACTGCCAAGTGCACATTTTGCCTGTGAACAAGTTGAGGGGTTAGAGTTACTGGGCAAGCCCCACACAAGGGAGACAGCAACATGAGAACAAAACCTGCCTGGCACTTCTGTGTGGCACATACTCTGCTCCCCAGAACTCCAGCCCATGGTTTGCTGGAGGGGTGCACTACCCAAAGTTGGTAGAAACCTTGACCGTTAAGGGTTTGGTTTTGCTAGAAAGAACCCCACAGAAATACCTCCACCATGCTATCAGGGTCTGGCACTGCATGTGCAGAGGAGAGATAAGCAACAAGGAAGTGGGAATGAGTTACTTAAAATGTGACAGCCTAAAAGTTGTATCTGCCTTTTAAAATGGCCCCACACTGATGCTCTAGCATTAGAGTACAAAAAAAATAAATAAAGGAGAGATGTACCCAAACAGAGCAAGTCCAGTCTGATATGCTGACTAATGCTTCTTTCTTAAGCACTGCTTGTATTTATGGAATTAGAGAATTCCTGCAAGTGTCCCAGCCACATTATACTTACAGTGATTACAAGTCTTGCAATTTTATCCCGAGTCTCCTGATACTTGCCATTTTCTAAAAGTTCCAGTTCCTGGAGTCATGCAAATACTAAGAACTTCTGCTTTCATTTTAAATACACATTTATAGGCCTCACTGCTGTAGAAAAAGCTTGAATATATCAGCTCAGCACATACAAAATGCTCAAGAAACAAAGGGCAAATAAGACTTCCACTTTTGTTGTTGTTGTTGAAAACCAATATAGTAGGAAGGGGTAACTCATAGGAGGAAGGGTAACTCATTATTTTTGTGCTCTTGGACTAGAAACACTTAAAATTAGTTTGAATTTATTAACTCATTAACCTGGGATACATAAACCAATCCACCCAATCCCATGATGGGTGGAAAATAAGTAAGTGTTATTGCATCCATGTTCCTAGTGAAAAGCCAGTTATAAGTACAAGTGCCACAGCTTAGTATGTCATGCTAAAAATACACAATGGCTTAAATCAAGTGTTAAACTACTAGACAGCAATTAGCTGGGCAAAGCTTTGGAGAATCTACTCTGCATGCCATAAAGGTGTTGGGGGCAGAGTGGTCCCAAACATTTGCTAGGCCTTATGATATTTTAATTTATACTCATTTTTGGTTCTTTTCTTTCCCTCACAGCATGCAGAGAGACCCCTCACAAATAATGCACTGGATATATTAGTGTAGTTAGGAGCTCCCCATACAGTAAGCATTGTCACATCACTTTACGAAGATTCCCGCTTGAGTCCCAAATATTCAGCCATGCACTCGAATCAATTCTTAAAGCGCTGTGTGCTAGAAGAGACCAGGAGCTGTCTACAGCTGGCAAATTTTCCAATAGTGAGTACAGCACCTCTAAGCTGCCTAGGGTCAGAACTCCTAATGGGAAGGCTGTTTTATTTTAGGGACAGGTCAAGATTTACAACTCACTAACTTTCTCATATGATTGCATATGGGCTAACTGCATTACAGCCTAGATACTCAATTACAAAGATGCCTTGTCTGGACAGCCTCATTAACAAATGCAGTCATTAACAAACTTTATTCTATCTAGGCCTCTGTGAATTAGGGAAGTAGTCCTATTTTACAGATTGGAAGCTGAGAAACAGGGAAGATTGACTTGTCCAAGGTTACAGAATAAAATCTGTGCTAGGGCTAGAAACTAAATCCAGGTCTCTGGAATTTCAGTCTAGTTCCTGCCCACTAAAATCTCTTTCCTATTTCACCTTGTCACTCATTTAAAACAGTAGCACCATGCAAGAAAACTGGGTAACCGCTTTTTATCTGTTCATGGGAAAGATCACTGCTCAGAGTATCTTGAACTTCATAAAACATGTCACATTTAGGGAAATCTTACAAGGCTGTCAATTAGTTTGCCATGGTAGAATCTGGGTGGAAAATGGTAAATAAACCTAAAGTTAATAAGAAACATCATTAGGGCATTATGTAAAGATACCTACAAAACCTCTAATAAGCATGTAGAGCTCAGTTTCTCTATTTCCTCAAGGATTGTGAATATTAAAGTGCATACTGCTATCTCCTTTATTCCTTTGCCTGGTTATCCTGAACTGCTCTGGATAAATGACTCCTATCTATCCACACTCCAGTTTGACCTTGTGTGTCACTAGCATTCTTATAGAATTCTTACTCTTAGCAATCGTCCTAAAGTTTAATGCTTCTATACACTCTGCAATCACCCAACCTCTCCCTCATATAGAACTCACATTCTAAAGGGAAAAAAATCATTAAAATCTTGGAATACTTGGACACTTGGCAGTTACCTTTAACAGATTTCCATTTAATGAATAAGGCACTGAATAACTTGGATCAGCAAAGATGAATTAGAAGCTATTCAGATAAAAGAATGCTAATTGGAAATGATCAGATGGAAGACTAGAAGAGCTGTTTGTGTTTCAGTATTGAAAAGAGTTGTTTTTACTCTTTACTCAAATAGGGCAGGTGCTTTTCAAAGTGAAAGCAAAATTAACAACTTGGGCAGGCTGCACAGATAGCTCTGATATACCTTGCTGAAAATTAATTCTATATGGCTAATTCTGAGCCGCATGGTATTTCATTAATAGAAGCCACTCATTGTCATCTAGACATTTTTTTTAGGAATCTCTGGGTAAATGGCTGCTGCCTAAGAACACAAGGGACTGGACTTAATGGTGCAGGAGACCCCTTCCAATTCTATGTGCAAAGACTCAATAGTTTGGAAAAAATCCATGGAATATGGATTATCTATGCCATTTTAATGGCTGCTGGTTGAAATCGGCACTGGATGAGCTGTGTCCATTTAGTGATTGAAGATTTTCATTCTTCGTTAAGGTTCCCCACCCCCCTCCATACTTCACAGAAATTTACTGGAATTTCTACTATTGAACATTTCAGTCTAGTGCATATTAAAAATAAAAACCAAACCAAACCAAACCTCATTCACATTGTCTTCTCTAGAAGGAAATGAACCCTCCCTACTATATCATGTATGTAGCAAATTAAATAAATATTTACACTTTGCAATTTTTTTTCTATGATATTGGGGATTTGTGCTCACTTAGAGATTCAAGGGACCGAGAAGGAGATCTGGCTAACTTAAATGTAATATATCATCATCCGCAACCAGCACAGGCATACTTTATATGTATTCCAAGGCAATTAATGGAAGGGATGTTCCAAAATTAAGTGAAATTAGATCACTTTCTCCATTTCTTGTTTTGGATTGGTAGTCCCAGGATTTTTGCAAATTATTAAACTCATGACATTTTAAACTCTTTCAGTACCTGGACAGACGGTAAGCAGCAATGAGATCCTGTGCCTCAAAATCACATATAGCCTTATACACCAGGAACTCAAACCCTGACTGTGTGAGACAGAAGAGTGGAGAAGATGCCTTATGTCAACTTGTGCAATTCTCAGGGCAGGATAAAAGGTTTTGTTTTGCTTCTGGAAGACTTGCATCTGGTGTACATCAAAACATATATTCTTCCTATGAAAACTGACTCACTAGAATAAGGACCTGACTGGTTGCTGGATGTTCCAGCCCCAATACTCTGTATAACATCTTTGAGTTTTCATGGGGTTCTTTAAGCAGTGGTTTCATTTAAGGTATGAGGAAATTAATTCTGATTTTGATTTTATATATTAGTCCAGGGGTGCTCAGCCTCCTGCCTGTGGACCATCACATCTGGCCCGTTGGGCTTCTCACAGGTCCAGAAATTTGGCAGTGGGGGAGCAGTGGCCATTAAAATGGCCCCCCCCCCCCCCCCCACAAACTCCTCAACCCCCATTCCCTACCCAGCCAGTTGGAACCAAGTGATGTCCTCTTCCCCAGTGGGGCCAGGCCACTTCCCCCACCACCTTCTCAGTTGGGACTGGGCCCCACACTCTCCCGCTCCTCAGGGCCAGGGCACGTTCTTTTGCACTGCAGAGCTGTATTGGGGCTGGGGCTGGCTTGCCCTCCCCCATGCAACCAAATAGTGGCTGCCATGCCTGTGCCACACTGGGAGCACCAGTTGGCCTGTGGACAGGCTGGGTGCTGCCAATTAGGCTTGCTGGACAAAAAGGTTGGACACCACTGCATCAGTCCATCTATTTGTCTTTTCCACTTTCTGAAGTTAGCTCAGGACACCTGTAGAGATAACCGTGGGAGCCTCTGGAAGACACTGCAAATTAGAATTATACACATTTGTGGCTCTGAAAGGTCCTAAATGCTTACAAGATGATATTTCTTTTCTTCCCTATTATCTTTGTACCTCAGGGAAAACCACCCACTCTTGTGCTTCTCAGGCCAAGAAAGCCTCAGTGACTGACTTCATTAACCAGTGGCCAAGAAGCTATCACAGCCACATGGAGAGAAAGACAGAATATTAATTTTTTTGGACCAATATTTCTATTTACATTTTGGAGATGACAATGCCTGATACAAATATCAGTAAATCATATTTTAAAATGTTGTCCCAGTTAGATATTATATAGCTGTGGTTAATTCTTTAAGCATGGCTGCCCAGGTTTTACCTTACACAGTGATAAACTTGACTTTACCCTCGTATGAACATGCTAATTATGTGTATTGTATTGATGCCCAGGAAGTCCTGTTACTGGCCAAGAATCAGACATGGCTGGTAAAGTACACAGAAATAACTATGAATATGTCTGAGATATTTTCTACCATGGTATCTTTTTTTTCTCCCAGTGTAGAAGGCTAAAAATCCAACCAACAACACTTGCAGTTCCAGCCCAGACACTAATATTTCCTTAATTCAAGAATGAAGTTTGAGAAACCTGTGTGACACTGCAAATATGGTATTTCAGGAGGCCAGTCCCATGAACCCTCATTTTAACAACTTCCCGAGTGCTCTGTACTAACTAAATTAAAGGAACTAATTATGTTGCAATCAGCACTGGCACAATTGCCCCAGCACTAGCAGGGTGGAAAGCCTTTAAAGACTCAGCCAAGCAAAGATGGAAGTAGTAAGCAAAGCCCAAAAATTCAAGGCTTTTTAACCTACCTTTTAGGAGCTGTAACACTGCAGACAGGAGGGGTGCAGTGGTTATGGAATTGACAGAAGGAGAACATATGAGGAGAAAGACAAAAAAAGACAGGAAAAGAGATCAGTGATTTCCTACATCCCCAACAAAGCGAAGGAAAGGAACCTGGAGAGAAACACACACAGTGAGGTTTGACTCAAACAACCACTAAGAAAAAAAAAGAGAAAAAGAAAAAGACAGGTTAACATTTCTTGTTTGGCATCACTTTTCTTTTCCTATGCTCAACTCTATTTCTTTCTTGTTATCTGCCAGATCTACCCATTTTGTGACACACTTGCCTTCTCATGCAGGCCAAACGGGACTGAATAAGAGGGCCCAGAGTCTGTCAAACACTAAGGGAGTGCACTTTTGTGGCACCTGCCTTTGCCTGCATAAAAGTTGTGGGTCAAATCTACTTTCATAGTAGAACTCCAAGGGAGATCACTCTAGTGTGATTCAGTAAGTAGCACATAAAGGAAAAAAGCTCTTTATTAGTCGGCAATTCTGCTGGGTCCTTTAAGATGGTGATAAATGTACTCCACTTTGAGGGACTCTAAAGCAGCCCTGTTGTTATTCTGCACGAGTGCTCCCTACAAGACATTTCTGAACCAGCAGCAGCTTCTATTTTCTTTATTCCTTTACACCCAGCTCTCTTGCTGAAGAGCATACACAGAGGACGTTTTACCTCTTCTGGCCTTCTATTTAGGAAAAAGCAAGTTATATATCCAGACTGTCATGTAAGTCAGCACTTCCGGTTCTGTGCACTGAAAGCAATGGTCTGGAGGCTACTGTTACCACTGCAACTTTCATGCCTGCAGTTTCTGACTAATACTCCCAATGGACAGAGACCTTGAAAGGGATACTCAGGTTGTCTGCCGAAGGCAGGTACTGACTTTTTACGGTGGTCTGACAGAACAAGAAACATAAACATATCAAGGCCTGCAGGGCACAATGCAGGCAGGGTGTAAACATGATATGAGATTCCAGGAATAAGCAGTTAGAAAGGAACAACCGCTTTAGAGATGAGCAGTTGTGGATAAGAGCAGCACGTCAGGCTGATGTTATTTTGTAGGCCAAGATATGACTCAGTACTTGTTTCAGTAACTGCAAATATGGGTTCTTCAGGCCTACTTTTACCGTAGCTCAGTGTTTTGCATAACTAGCTTTAAAGAGATAAAAGTACATTAGTTACGGATACCTCCTGATCCTTCAGATTTAGAGAAAATGAATGGAAGATCATCTTTGGGTCTCTTGGTTCCAGATAATATACTCCTGAATTTGCAAGCGTGAGAAGGCCAGAAGGGATAGTCAAGTCCCTGAAGTCTTCAGAGGTTTAAATTCCAAAAGACAGCATCCAAAAGAGATTTGCTTCACTTACAGAGCTGACCTTGGGAGTGTTGCTGTGACTGCAGAATTCCTGCATTTGCTTATCTAAATATACTTGTATTTAATACATCACTTATTTCCTCCAATGTCCTAGCTTGTTTGATGTGAGATACATACATCAGATACTGATATTGCTACCATAGGTAGAGCTGCAACGCCAGTCCTAGGAGTTCTTTATTGTATCTACTATGAATGTACTGGGGGCTCTGCTCTGAGCATATTAATGCTCTGTTAAGAGTGTTTGCCTCCATTGCAACATAGTGATGTCCAATACTGAAAACCGCAAACATAACGCATTTGTTGTTTAATATAAAAATGAAGTCACTGGTGCAAAAATTCATTTTCACACTTGCTTAGGTGCTACCCGTCCCCATATACCTCTATTTTCCAATTTCTGCTTCTACTTCACTAAGATGTCTTCCAGTTTAAAGCCAGGAAAAATTACTCCTGTGATGTGACACTTGTATTGAACATCTAGCTGTACTAAATAGTTGGAAATTCACTGCTGTTTAAGCAAAAGGTGATATACTAATTTATTTCCATAGTCCTGATATTTAGAATATTTTTTCTGTTACAACTTCAGTAATGTTTAGATTAGTGGGTCTCAACCTCTTCAGACTTGAGGCACCCCTCACTTGACTTAAGGCACCCCTCCATAACTAGTGAATTGTATAATTTATTCCAGCTGGGTGGCTTTCACTACAGCATCTACCTCCTTGCAGAGGGGCCATGTAGTTGAGGTGGGGGATTGGCCAGGCCAGGACAAGCCTGAACCTGTGCTTATCTCCTTACCTCAAAGCACCCTTCCAAGGATCTGGTGGCACCCTAGCTGAGAATCATTGGCTTAGTTCAGCAGCCAGGTTATTCAGAATAATAAATTGCTAGAGTGAAACTACTATGATGTGTTACTAGACCCTTTCACCCTCTTAACCAACTACGGCTGACCCCTCAGAGATAGAAAAGCTCACCAATACTACTTCTATGGAGTTTAGTGGGTAGGACTAATAGTAATTCTAAAGGTAACTCCAAGCTAGAGTAAATATAGTATCTAGAGGCCTTACCTCTTCTGTTTGACTGTGATGCCTTTTTGCTGCAAGGCCTTCTCGTTGGCCATCTGTAGAAGCTGGATCTCCTTCCTGGAAAAAAGTCGTATGGCAAAGGCTTTCTCCAGGAGCTTCTCAGGAGACACTGACTTGGCAATGTCCCTCACAAAAGTGCGAATGTCCTGTTGAATATTGTCTGACTCCATAGGTTGCCCAGCTCTTACTTTATGAAAGAATTTGAGAAGGGCCAGTGCAACCCGGTACAGCACCTTGTAGCCCTCCACCAGAAATACATCAAAGACCCGAGCAATATATACCATGGGCAGTTCTCCAAAGAGCCACCGTTGCCAGTCAGAGTATACTTCTAGCACATCCTCAGATACTGCTACCATCAGCTTGTGTGCTGCCTGACAATACTTGTTAACCAAGTCACCAAAGGTCATGCAGGAGGACTCGAAAGCCAGGAAAGTCTGATCAATGAGGCGTTTGGAGGGATCATTGCAAGCAAGGATGCGACACACCTTCTCAAAACACTCTGCCTCATCCTGGCTGTAGTGGAGGAGCAGAGCAACCACAGAAGGCAGTGCTGGGCAGAATGATATGTCAGGGAATTGATTACCAATGCAGGAAATTATCTTCCTGACAGCCACAATGCCCTCAGCATTCAAGCAGTAAGTGGGAACCAGGCTATTATCCACAAACTCTGGCAGTGGGAGGGTGCCACTATTACGTTTGCCAGCTATCTTCACAACAATGTCACGGTACACATTTGCATCTGGTGTCACTGTGCGACATGGAATGTCACTAATGAGTTTGTGGAATACTTTGGCTCGCAAAGAGTGGTTCTTGGCCCAGTAGCCCTGTCGGGCCAGCTGTTTCAGCTCCTGGAATTCTGTGCAAGTTAACTCCTTTGGGTCCTGGTTCTGGATGCTGGCATCCATCTTGTCCCAATCCACAAAGCGGCTGTACTCATCCATGCCTGCACAAATTGTTCTTACAGAAGGACAGGGAGATAAAGACTTTACTGGGCCTTTCATGGATGCATACTTTTTCCTACAAGGGGAAAAAAAAAAAGAAAAAAAAAGAGGAAGAACATTTAGAGATTTGTTGTAAGCCCCCTTAGGAGCAGACATTCAATTTGGCCTGCACTGGCAAGAAACTGCTTCCTGCCATGAATGAGTTCAGATGAAATTTCAATTCTGTTCCCACAGCACACAGTGTTTATCGTGTCAATCGACATTTAACTAGCATGGCAGAAGACAGCCCAAATGTAAATTCTGAACACATTTAAAAGTGTGGAAGAGTTCCCTACAATAATTATTCTGGCAACAGACATCTCTGCACATTTGCACGTGCTCAAATTATGATTGTGTTAGCTTGTGATAAAGAGCATGTTAACATCCTATATATTCAAAGATAGCTACTGTAAGCTTTGCTCAAAATGCAGCATTCTCTTCATGAAAAATGTGTACCATCTGGACTATAAGCATCCAGTGTAATGCACTGGCCTTGTGAGTTCATGGGCTTGTGTGCAGTTCTGTCACTGAATCATTGCCTAGGGCTGTCCCACAGAGAGAGACCTGCTACCATTAATATCAGAAAATCTCTCCTAAAAAAAATGCAAGCCTCTCTTATGAGCAAGAGCTGAAAGGCCAGGGTTTTTAACCCCCAGGAGACTGTGCATACATTCATGATTTTCATTGAATCCAAAGGCACATCTGGCACCTTAGAAACTAACTGGTTCAGAGGCATGCACTTTTGTAGACAACACCTTCCTTTGTCAGATGCTACCAATTGCATCTAGATGAAGGTCCATCTCCACTGCAGGCAAGGTGTGACTGCAGCACTGGTACGTGTACACATGCTAATTTTAAATTTAGCTAGCTAGCATGGGCATCCACAATAGTGAGAGCATGGCAACACAGGCTGCAGTGCATGTCAGCCACTTGAATATGAACCCAGTGACTCGAGTAAGTTAGTACAATCAATGCTAAAATTAATGCTGCTGCATCTTCACTCTTATCTGCATCTGTGTTAGCTAAATTTAAGTCAGCAGGTACAGATCTACATGAGGTGCAAATCACACTTTTGACTGCAGTACAGATATACTCCAAGGCAAAAGGGTTTATCACATTCAAGTGGCCCTCCCCCCCCCCTCTGCATTAGGTACAGCAGGAGCATTATATGACAGTAAAGATTATTTTGTGCGTTCTAAAAAAACCAATGAGTCGCATGCCGACTAACCAAAGAGCATTCCAAAGTCAACCATTTACAGACAAGTTCTCTTTTGACAATAGTGGACATAAAAAAACATTTTGAAACTTGTAAGTTATATATTCTATATTAGGGTTGTCAAACGATTAAAAAATTTGATTGTGATTAGTTGCACAATTAAAAAAATTAGTTGCAATTAATCATGATTTTAATTGCACAGCTAAAAACTCAAAATTATGTGCAGAAAAAACACAAAATAATACAAAATTATGCAGGTACTTTGTATGGCGGGGGGTGGTGTGGGGTGACTGTGTGCGTGGGGGAGGGATTTGTGAAGGTGTGCGGGCTGTGGGTGTGTGTGTGGGGTTTGGAGCCTGGGGAGAGGGGATGCCTGCAGGGGGGTCTGGAGCCCCGGAAGGGGAAAACCCTGGATACTGTGGCAGGATGCCCAATCTGAGTGGGGTCTCCGTGGAGCTGCCTGACTCAGGGAATGCCCCCTGCCCAAGCATGGCTCCAGCGGCAGGGGGCTCAACCTACTCTTGTCTGAGCAGCAGCGGCTGCAGGCAGCCCAGGCTGGGAGCAGTTACTCCGGCCCTGGCCCCAGCCCCGACCCAGATTTCCCTGTTTACTTGCTTAGCGGGTCTCAGGCAGTCCTGACCTGCCCCGGGCCTGAGGATACCAGGCAGCTTTGCTGCGGCCCAGCGTTGCCTTCCCCGAACCCCTGGTGCTGCCAGCCCTGCTGCTCAGGGCCCTGGATGAGGGTGGTTGGGTGTCCCCCCCGGCCTTCCTAATGCAGCCACCTGGAGCCCACATCCCACCAGGACCTGCACAGAGCCACTGCTGTGGGGCTGCCTGGCACTCAGGCCCCATGGCTCAGGCTTGGGGCAGGTTGGGACCACTTGGGAGCTCTGGCATGAGCCACCTCCAGGCCTGTGGGTCCCCATGTATCTCAGGTCTGGGCCCCCAGGGAGCGGTGGTGATGGTGGCCCCATGGAGGCAGGTGGTACCAGCGGGTGGAAGCAGGATTCCCACAGAGCCACCTCCTGCAGCCCTCTAAGCATGCACCGCATGCCCAGGCCCAGCCCACTGCCGTCACCACTGCTGAGCCAGGCAGAGTGGCTGCTCTCCTTCCTGTGCTACAGCCAGGACTGGTGGCTGTGCAGGTCCCGGCGGTAGCCCAAGAGGCATGTGGACAAGAGTGGCAGTGGCGCTGGGTATGGCTCGGGCTCCAGTGACACTGGGCTATAGGCTGGGCATGTAGTGTGTGGCTCAACGGGAATCCTACCCCTGCCTGCTGGCAGCGGCTGCCTCTGTGGGGGCATAGGGCCACTGTCACCACCACTCCCTGGGGGCCCAGACTGGGGATGCGTGGGTGGGTACGCTCCCCCCCTCCCCCAACTTCCTGCTGCAGCTGCGCAGAGCCTGCACCCGGGCTGTTCCGCGGCTCCTCTGCACTGCCACCACTGTCCTGCAGGGCAGCCTGGAGACAGTGGTGATGGCAGTGGGGCAGGGAAGCCCAGGCTCCAAAACCACATATGCAATTAACATGTTAAAAATAATAATGCGTTAACTGGTTCTTGCATTAACTGCGCACATTAATGGTAAGTAATTGACAGCCCTACTGTATATACAGAGTTGTTTTCTTCCTGCTTTGCTTCAGTTAGGAGGAAAACACAAACCTTTGTCTATCGAAGGCAAAATAAATTCATAAATATACCACCAGAGTTAGGATAGTGGTAACTCTGATCCAGATAGTGCTAGACAGTAGTTGAATATTAAATCAGTGTATTTTGAAAACAGATGCATCAAATTTTAAAAATAAATGAGTTACATTTGAAAATAAGGCAAGCACAAGTTAAACCTACTTTGAAAGCTGCCTAGAAAATAAATGAGGGGAACATCAATTCTTGATTTAGAATATCTGCTTCCATTTTTTTGTAATGTGCAGACTTGAGAGGTGGGAGGAAGAACAGCACAGAACAGCAGCTCTACATTGCTGATGCCTGAGTGAGGCCATGATAAGAGATCTGCAGACGGTGTTGCTCCCCTCCCCTTCCTTTTCTATGCAGAATTTAACAAGGGCACTTGACTCGGTGGGCTGGGGTTTTAATTAGGAACTTGACACTGTGCGTGCGTGCGTGCGGGGGGGGGGGGGGCAGCGCTTTAATTACAGTGGCTCTGAGAGCCACTCTAAAGCACCACAGTGGCTCAGGTATGAGCACCCCTGCGTGTCAAAATGGTGGTGGGGGTGCTTGAACTAAAACTCATTCGATAAGTTTTAGTTCAAGCACCCTCACTGCCATTTTGAAACACACGGACACTTATACACAAGATGTGGGAGGCTGCCAGAGTGCAGCAATTGCTATGCCCCAGCAGACTGTTAATCAAGTCTGCTCCAACACTATAATTACAGAGCATTGGAGCAGCCTACATGCTTGTGTACAGGCAGAGTGGAAACTGTTGAGGGTTGATGGCAGTCTGCTGGCCACAAAGGGTGCGAAACCACTGGTGTATGCCCACTATCTGTGCTGAATCCCATCCTCCTATTTCTGAAACCAAATGTTCAGAATGCAACTGAAGGGTGTGACCTCTTGTTCCCACGTCAGTTCTGAAAGACGGATTTCTTATAATGCATTTGTTTGCAGTTAATATTAGAAGGTTGTCCTGAGGTTCTGCTTTGGGGTTTCCGCAGTGTGCACAAGGAGGACTATACAGAATATTGGTCCACTGAAGATCCCATTTTATAAATGAGGAAATGTTTACATCCAAATTTAGGGACACTCCACATTTTCCTATTACCTTCCATCTGAAGAACCCAGAGACGTCTAAATACTGACCAATTCTTCTCAAAGCATCCCTCCTCCTACTGGAGGGAAGTACAATTCCCTCTTACTGCAACTAGAGGTGCACCGATACATCAGTCCCTTATCAGATTGGCACAGATATAGGGAAAATTGAAAGTACTGGAAATCAGCTTTTGTTGCCTGATGTGGCTGATAATGTGGCCGGTAAACGTCCCGTGCATGCGCACAGCCACAGCATGCAAAGGGCCAGGAGTGCAGCTCAGCAGCTTGGAGACCAGCATCTGGCTGGTTAAGTCTGGTGGGGGGGAAGGAGTTGGGGGAGGGAAAAACCGTGAGGGGGGGGGGGGCAGATTGAAG